AAAAAACTGAAATAACATTTGAATTATATTTCTTGGGTGTTAAAAGGCAGCAAACCAACTATAGCATTGTGCTTATTTAACTAAGAATTAAGTACGAAAATTCTTGGACGACTTATCTTAATTTTAGGAATTTATATTACCGCCATCTTCGAAATTTTTTTTTAAATCTAAAATTTCCAAGCTATTATGCAAAAGAATCATATCTAAAATCTGCGGACGGCATAGCGTTAATTATTAATATAAATTTATTAATTTAACCGTAGGTTCAGAACGAATTTCAGTTTGACGAGTCAGTCTTTCTGTGTCACTACCAGAGAAACCAGCAAAGTTTTCTACATATTTATAATCTTATAATAATGTAATTATATCTTATAACATTTTTATTTTATATCTAATACCTGTCGTCCACAGCGACGCAATACCCGTCGAGCGGCTTCGTCCGAAAAGGGTTAACCCTCGAGCAGCCTGCAAGAACAACGCAGAACACCGACGCCGGGTCATTCGTGACCGACGTTACAATATTGCACTTATCTTCGTGCAATATTTTCCAGTATTGATACGAACTGTTCAAATTATAGTTCACCGATCGAGGAGACCCGGCATCGGCGGAGAGCCAAAAATAATCGAACAATAACGAATGTCACGGCAAACTAATAATTACATCGACGTTCTGTTTCTTCTTCTTTAAAAACACCATTTGTCTTCCTAAGCATGTTCTACCACCTTGAAATGTCCGGGTACGAACATTAACTTCAGGAAATGCCGAAATGAATATGTAAATGTGAAAGCGTTTCTATGCACACGGATATTCATATGTTCAATGTCTAATGATCGATGGGCTCTTCGTAAATAACATACATATTTACAAGCTATCCTCGCCTGTGCACTTCATTCTTCGACGAAGTATAAGCCTTCTTCTGTGACTTCTAACTACATATGTATCATGAATTATTATCATACAGTACTTGTCGTCTCTGTGTAAACTGCAAGCGGCAACACGAATCATTTCCGTCAATTGATATTTCAATGTTCCCACGCAGAATGCACCACATGTATTCCTCGAAGAAAGGCGATCCCCTCTGCCCCCTTGGCTTTCATCCTCAAGTGCGATGGCCCACTCGCTGCAAGAGATGCTTCAGGTATTACAAGATCTTCGTTTAAATTACCAAAGAAAAGTAAACGATATCGATCGGTATAAATCACCGGTAAAATTGGTGACGCATGCGAAGGATAATCAACAGACATTTTTCCAGGGATTACAAGGAACATGGTGGTAAAAGGGATAGTCTGAGGGACATCACGTCCTCCACACCGAGTCTTTCGTACGAGCAATCGTCGGGCCGGTGAGTTGAAGAGGACCACGGAAACACGGCAAAAAGTTTAATAGACGCATATTCTTTGGATTTTATAAATTACAATATACAGGGTGTCCCAAAAATGTCTCGCAATCCGAAAGTGACGGATTCCTCAGGTCATTTGAAGCAACTTTTTCCTTTACAAAAATTTTCTCCGAGGCACCGTTAACGAGTTATTAACGAAAAACAGTGGCCAATGAGAGGCGACCGAGCCAATGAGCGGAACTGGACTTCGTGCGCTGGTTGGCTGGGCCGCCTCGCGTCAACCGTACTCGATTCTTATTGGTCACTGTTTTTCGTTAATAACTTGTTAACGGTGTCTCGGAGAAAATTTTTGTAAAGGAAGAAGCTGCTTCAAATGATCTGAGGAACCTGCCACTTTCGGATTGCGAGATATGTTTGGAACACCCTGTATAATATATGCCTCGTGTAAACGGCGGTTTGTTTACATCGTTGCAATTTTGCATGCCTAGATCCGCGGAAAATGGCAAAAGAGTTTGGTCGTCCGCGACGAATTTGGCGAAAGCCGATTTCAAGAATAGCAACGAAACGTCGGCTGCAGCAGCCGGATGGACGTCGCTCATGGATCTGTCTGCGATCGATAAGGAAGAGGAAAGGAAGGAAGGTACATAATTGCGTTCGTGTAAACATCTTTTTGCAGTTTACGTAAGAAATGTCGCTCAGCACAGTTTGCTAATCGCCCGCGGCATTTGCATCGGTAATTTTTTTACACGATTTACCTCTAACGTGCTACTTGTGTAACGTGTTTACAGCCAGAAGACCGTCGAAATTGCAAATCAAAGAGGTCATTGATAACAGCAACCAAAGCGCCTCTGCAAACGACGTCGAATTTATAATTCAGGTATGACCGATATCGATTATCGAATTCGTCTCTTGGCTTATATCTTCTAGAATAGATTGCTGATTAAAGCGCGAAAGAGATTACGTATCTTCCGACGATCTGCCCCTGATTTTTAAGTCTAGAAGACGTTAATGATGAATTATGAAAATATATATTTATTCGTATCCAGGTGAAGAAATCTCGGACGCCGAAGAATCCTGTACAGAACGATGATTGCCAGACGGAAGAGGTGATGACAGAAAACAGATAACACTGTTAAGATACACCGTTCCGCTTCGATTCGTTCTTTCCGACGAATATATTTAATCGTATCGTTTATTTTAGTTTCACGGATCACATTATCGGCTATTTTGACTAACACAGAATTTTATTGCGAACAGAGCGAGTTGGCGAGGTTGAAGTTCCAAGTAAGCGAATTGCAAACGCGATGCGAGAAAGCGGAGAAAGAGAAAAGTGAGATACTGATGAGACGGTTGTCCACCATGGAAACAATATCGAGCAAATCTTCGCCGAACGAAGTACAAAAGTTGCAAAAGAGAAACGAAGGTACGAGCGGCAGGGCTGAAGGGAAAACGGGAGTACAGTATTTCCTCTGTAACGTCACGCGACGCGGGAGATACGACAGAATCTTGGAAACCACGGAAACTGCTACGCCTTTTGGCCTCATTGGCCGACAATGAGCTGTCCTCATTGGTGCTGCGTCACGGCCGCAGACAAATAAAGATAGCGTTGCATTTACGCGAGTAGTCGCACACTCTCCCCCTCTCTTGGCTCTGTCTCCCTTGCTCGTTGTCTTTTCTTTTCCCAAAAGCCTTGAGAGCACTGCCTGTGCGACGATATAGCGGGGATAAATACGAACAGTTATGGGGATACCGTCGGAGCGCGACGCTACGGAAGAAATACCAATTTCCTTTGCTGTTCACAGAAATTGAAAATAATAGAACCCGAAGGAGAAATCGTAAAATTAATAAGTTGTTCAAATGCAAGAGCCGATGATTGTTAATATCTGTTAATGATGTTCAGGTTTGATACAAGAAAAGACCAGTCTGATGACGAAGATCAGAGAGCTGGAGAAAGAAGCGAATACGAAGGCATTTAGAGGCGAAAGGGACAGGGAGAAAGATGAACTTCGCTCGAAGCTAAAAGCGGCGGAAAATCTATGCGAGTCTTTAATGGACGAGAACGAGGACATGAAGAAAGAGATACGGCAACTGGAAGAAGAAATTTACGAGCTGCAGGACACTTTCAGGTAATTCTCTTTCTCCTCGTTCGTGCATACATACTGTAAATATAAAAGTTTCATTTCCTTTTTCCGCATGTACACTTTGGCTTCGTTTTGTCCGTTTATAATATCTAGACTGTGGATTTTTACATACATTTAAATACAAAACAATCGAATAATAAAGTATATTTCTTACTCTTTGATTTCAATTTATTCGAACTGTTGTATAAATGTTTACAATCTACGTCAAAATCCGCAGTCCGATAGTATCGTTTCGTGAATTAAACAAATTGTATACACAATAGTCCTCCTCTCACTATTTTTATAAATCGATACAAATTAGAGCGACGTATAAACTGTCAAATTGTTCGCATTTAAACAAATGTTTCTTCTCGAATCTAATCGACTATAATCTGTAATTACGAGTCCAGAGAAAGATTCGATTAATCGGTAAAAAAATATTCATGCTTCTGCATTCGCGTCAGACATTCTTGTCGTCGGCAAAAGTTACAACAACCGTGTATCACTAACAGGTTTGCCTGAATTCGTATTCATTAACCAGTTAATAAATAACTTATATCCATAGCGGCGAACCTTGACTCGCCTGTTGCGTACAGTTTCTTTCTTTGCTGAATAACATACATGTGTTTGCGGATGCAACTGATCTCGTCACTGCGTAATTAGCGCCGGGTAATTAAGCCCTTGATCCTCCCATCCTCCCCACAGTCTCAATAAGAGGTTAGACGGAAATGTAAATACAAGATGAATCACATGCAAATGAAAATTATGATTCTATCAATAACCATCGATAGAAAGCTGTTACTTTTTGTTAAGCCAATGTTACTAATTGACTTTGAATAGCTACTTTGAATAGCTAGTGCCTCGATGAACTGTCATTTATCATTTCTACCACCTAGCTAGATGAATAACGCGTGGGCACAATATTTTGAGGTCGTAAAATCGGTTTTTCGGACAATGACTTTGATTTACGATCGGATTAGGACTCGAGACCGTGGTCAGAACCGTTCAAAGAAATCTTACACCTGAAAAAATTGACGAGTAACAGGGGTTCGAGTGCTAATCCGGTCGTAAATATTGTATCCGCAACTGTACATACAGGAAATCTCAATAAACGTCTCGTAATCCGGAAATGGGTTATATTGAGACCATTTGAAGTAACTTTTTCCTTAGCGAAAATGCAATCCGCGACTTTGTTTACGAGTTATTAACGAAGAAACACTGACCAATAAGAGGCGAGCACGGCTGGCGCGAGGCGGCCTCTCATTGGCCGCCGTTTTTCGTTAATAACTCGTAAACAAAGCCGCGGATTGCATTTTCGCTAAGGAAAAAGTTGCTTCAAATGACCTCAGGAACTTATTGGAAACAGTGAATTGTTCTATTCTGTTGCAACGAGCTTCAAAGTCTGCGTCAGTTATCCAAACTTTATTGTGCCTATTATGCTACACTACGATCTTCCAACGTGGGTGGCACTGCTTTCCATAAAAAGGTGCCGAGGAGATCTTGAAGACGTTAAAATGTTATTTCCCATGTTCTGGTCATGTTGAATCGAACTTCCTACAACATCGAAACTTAAAATAGAAGCGTTGGTTCACCGAAAGAGTGCATCGATCACGAAAAATTTCTAAAAGAAGGCCGAGAGCCAGAAAAGATCGAGGAGCTACGTGCTGTACCAACAAACACGGAACTGTAAATGTTTATATTCATACGTGTGATCTATCTTGTGTTTAGATTCTTCTCCGATGCTAGGTCTCTGACTTGCCAGTTTGCTTGAGAAAGGTCCGGACCGATCTGGCCGAGTCAGCTTGCTAGAACCGAAACTGTTTGATGACCCAACATCACGTGTGTTACGCATCTACAGAGTGTCTACAAAAAATGTCTCGCAATTCGAAAGTGGCGGGTTCCTCAGATCATTTGAAGCAACTTCTTCCTTTACAACAATTTTCTCCGAGGAACCGTTAACGAGTTATTAACGAAAAACAGTGACCAATGAGAGGCGAGCTCAGCTGGCGCGTGACAACCGAGCCAATGAGCGGAACTGGGCTTCGTGCGCTGGTTGGCTGGGTCGCCTCGCGTCGCCGTACTCGATTCTTATTGGTCACTATTTTTCGTTAATAACTCGTTAACGGTGCCTCGAAGAAAATTTTTGTAAAGGAAGAAACTGCTTCAAATGATCCGCCATTTCCGGATTGCGAGACATTTTTGGGACACCTGCATGCAGGACGTTTCACCTGACGCCGAACACTTAAATATCTCTTTTATTTTTAACGGTATATGGGGTACGTTACGAATGCATTTCCTAAACAAATAAATTCTTTTCCGCCGTTTCGTTATAAATTGGTAGCAAAAGAAATGTCGATGCCCTGATTCAGGCAGCATCCTCCTTGTCATTCTAATTCGCACGATGTTCGTAACCTTTCTCGTGCCATTAGGAGCGAGACATTCAAGTGTTCGTTCTTGGTTGAAACGTCATGCATAACGAAGAGATCCAATGACCAAAAAAAACTATTGAAAACACTCGAAACGAATAACATTAACGTGTTTGGCTGATCAGCATTGTACCTGGCACAGGAACAAACGCACACGAACACTTTGAAGGGGCTCGAAAACAGTGGATTTCCACTTACTGCAGTTTCCGAAATCGGGCAACGAACCGAAAAGAGACGAAAAGATAACGAAAAGAGAAAATAGAGAGAGAGAGAGAGAGAGAGAGAGAGAGAGAGAGAGACGGAGAGAAAGAAGAATAAAAAAGAAACCGAAACCTGAGTCGATTGTAGTCTCAGGCGGGACACCAGCGCGAACGGAAACCAATGAAAACCGAATGCAGAGATACGTTTAGCGAAATGAGCCATCTGAATTGTTGCAGGACGACGAGTTTGGACGGGAGACGGTTCCAACACAGCTATGGTCGCTGCATTTCGTCAAAACTGGACCGAATGCCGGTGTTTCGTTGCCTCGAGATAACGAGTTTCCCGGCTGTTTTAGACAGAACCGAGCTAATTTTTCCGGTTCGTTCGGATCGAATTTTTCGCGGTCGGAATCGAGGAAAATGGAAGGATCTTCCAAAAACGGGAGAAACGAAAAATAGAACATCGGAGTCCCGATTCGAGCAAGACCGACGCGACGAGATAGCGTTACTTTCGATATGAAAAAAATAAAAAGAGAGAAAGAGAGAGAGAAGGAGAGCAGTATGTGGAACGTTATACTGTCGTCGAACCCTTTCGATGTTTCTGAACATGTTCGCGCGCTTCCAACGTGTTTCCGTCACGAACGGAGCACCGTTCCGAGCGTTTCGGCTTCCATTTAATTGATTGTGTACGTGAGAAATTAACAAAGAGGTAATTATATGTCTGTCGCGTCTCTTCGATCACGCTTCGTCCCACGGAACCGGATACAACTATGTAACTCCCTTTGAAAGAAGATTTTCAAGAATTCTTTCTCGTGTAAAACAAGTCTGCAATGATCTGACGATATTAGCGAAATTGTCGAGAATTAATTGCACAATTAACTCTCGAACACTTTGGACTATATTTTTTCAACTTCATAGTCGTATTACATTATATAGAGTGTCCCAAAAATGTCTCGCAATCCGAAAGTGGCGGCTTCCTCAGGTCATTTGAAGCAACTTCTTCCTTTACAAAAATTTTCTCCGAGGCACCGTTAACGAGTTATTAACGAAACACAGTGACCAATGAGAGGCGAGCTCAGCTGACGCGAGGCGACCGAGTCAATAATAAGCAGAACTGGGCTTCGTGCGCTGGTTGGCCGGGCCGCCTCGCGTCAGTCGTACTCGATTCTTATTGGTCACTGTTTTTCATTAATAACTCGTTAACGGTGCCTCGGAGAAAATTTTTGTAAATGAAGAAACTGCTTCAAACGATCCGAGAAACCCGCCATTTCCGGATTGCGAGACATTTTTGGGACACCCTGTACGTTATGCATTTTTGAGCAAGCTACATTCAAAATTGCCGACAAAATTTTAGCACAATCTCGAGTGTACGATATAACGAAGAGTCCGGTGGATTTTCGAGCGTGTTATAAAACGTTTAACGAAGGAAATAAATTTCCGAATAAATTTCGGTTCCGTGAACTCGGCAATAAAAAAACCGAGTTCGCGTAAACATCCGTATACATACTTAGTTGATCGTTTTTATGGATATCCGGTTCTGTAACGCTGTACCATTATGACGACTAAATGAAATGCATAATACACCAATATTTCGTATTCTTAAGGGATGAGCAAGCGGACGAGTACGTCCGTCTGCGAAAAAGTTTGGAACAGTCGAATAAAAATTGTCGAATTTTATCGTTCAAGCTGAGAAAAGTGGAGCGTAAGGTCGAGGAGTTGGAGACCGAAAAAACAACCCTGGAGACGAAGTATGAACAGGTAGAACGGCTTCTGAATAGATGAACGGATTGACGTGATTGAAAAATTGCCGACGTTAACCGTGAACGAATTTCAGGTGAAAAAGGTCGACGAGACCTTGCAGAAGATTAAAAACGATTTCCAAAATCGGCCGCAGAAAAAGGCAACCGATTTCACGACCAAAGTACAATTGAAGAAACTGGTGGACGAAATGGAGAAAGAAATAGGTTCGCCATTGGCTAACAACGAGTACTTGAATCGTTTGAACATAATTAATTTCTTAATTAATACGCGACTCGTTCAGCGGATTGCGCTGCTCGACGAATTGAAACTTGTTTCTTTCAATTTTTAACGGGGGCGTATTTTATAGCGTGCCCGTATTAATGTTTAATTCTTTTAATATTAATTCAAAGAACATGCTAATTTTCTACATGAAAGATACTTTATGCTTTATGCACGAAGATGGATTGAGAAAAATATTATTTATATTTTAGGAGACATGATGACTGTTTTTACAAATATTTCCGAGGGCAAAGAAGTAGACATTCAGGAACTAAAATTCAAGGATCACAGCAAGTATGATGAACTTCTAAAGGAGCACGAATTACTGAAAGAGAAGCTCGAATCTGTGACGAAAGAGCTGTCCCATGAAAAAGAAAAGAAAAAGCCGCAGCCATCTCTGAAAGGAGATGATAAAAATGCAGAACTACAGAACAGTGAGTGACCTAATCAGCCTTTGTTTCTTACGTTGGATTCTTACATTATATTGGAACGTTTCAGTGAAGAAGAAATTGGACGAAGCTGCATCATTGAGGGATGTGGAAAGAAAAGCATGGGACGACGAAAAGTCATCCTTATCTGAAGAGAAAGAGAAACTAAAGTCAAAGCTTCTGTCACTTTCTGCAGAGAAATTGAAAGTGTACAATGAAGTTGTTCAATTGAAGAAGGATTTAGGTATTCTTTTATAGCATAAAAGCGAACGATCGTAAAGATTTTATAAAGCTCCGTTGGTCTTTTGTAGAAATGGCCAAGTCTTCGGAGAAGGATGGAGTGAAATTAGAGAAATCGATAACTGAACTGAAGAAGGAACTGACGCAGGAACGTGACAGATGTAAAAAATTACAGGATGATTTGTCAGCGTACACGGAAAGGGAGTCGAAAATGACGCAGTCGATGTCTTCCGTGAGTGTCTTATTAGCAAGTACCACCGCTGGTCGACAAAACTCTATATCAGTAGTTCAACAGTAAGATAAAAAAAATAGAGTTTCGTATTCATATCGAGTTTTCTTTTAACGAAGGTTGAACAAACGAAGACCAAGCTGGACGCTGAAGTGAAACGGCTGAAGAAAGAACTCGAGAACGCAAAGTCCTCGAACGCTACGAAGATAAATGACATGACGGCCGAAATGTCACAACTGAAGAAAGAAAAGGAGAACGTGCAACGTGAATTCGATCAAGAGAAAAAGTCGAAGGAGTCCGAAGTGGCCGAGCTGAAGAAGAAGATCAGTTCGTTGGAGAAGACTGGAATGAATACAAAGAAAATAAACGAGATGAGACAGACGTATAACGAGAAGATTTTGAGTAAGTCTCTTTACTGTGATAATGGTGAACGTCCCACGAAATAATACTGTCGTACTCCGTGTTTATTCTCTACGCATCCACCTACAAAAACCGACTTCACGTCATTCTGTGTACCCCTTGAAATCATTTCGATTGAACACTCTGGATGAGACAACAGTGTCTTATATTACAGATCTGGAGAACGAGCTGAAGAAGGGTCAACAGGAGTACAACAGTCTCAGTGAAAAGCACAACGTGCTTCAGAATTTGAAGAAAGAGTCTGAAGGAGATAACGAGGCTCTTAATAAGTAAGTTATAGAATGTCGTCGCAACATTTTTTAAACCTGTTGTAACTAACAGTACACGTATAATCGTTCGCTTGTAGCAAGCTGAGAGAGCAAAACATAGAATTGAGCGGCATTCGCAAGGAATTGGAGACCTTACGGCAATCTTTGAAATTGAAAGAGAGTGAATGGAAGTCTGAGAGAGCTACCTTCGAGGTAAACGCAGCAATGTTTTATATGAATGAACATATTAAACATTTTAAGATTTGTAAAATCTCTTTCGTTTACGTTCATCTTTCAGAGCCGACTGAAGGAAAGCGAATTGCCGAACAAAGCTTTAATAACAGACCTGAACAATAATATTAGCAATTTGAAGAAAGAGAACAATACGTTAGTCACGCGATTAGAAGACATAAGAAAAGCAGTAAGCTAAGACCTTATGGTTATAATTGAAATTTACAATTGTAGTTCTCGATCATTGTTTTGTTAATTTGTATTTCGCAGAATGATGATCTTTCGGACAAGCTAAAAGATTACGAAGCCGTTTCGAAGATCCATCAAGCTATAACTCCGGACACCATGGCGCTTGAATCCGAAATACGAAAGTTGAAAATCGCCTTGGAGAACATGGAGAAATCGAAGAAGGCGGACCTTGCTCAATGCAAAATGCGGTACGAACATAGGATCACCGCCATCAATGATGAGATCCAAACTATCCAAAACCAACTGTCTCGGTACAAACGCGAACGCGACACTTATAAACATATGCTTGAAGGCGCCCAAAAAACTATCGCAGATCTGAAATCTGCAAGGAGTAGACACTCAAACGTATCCTCCGGAAAGTCTGACGAGGTTGGTTCTTCCTGTAATCGATTTCAATGACCCCACGAAATTAATTACATATTGACAAACATGTATGCTAACTGTATGCAAGCTATATAAATTTAATAGAAATGTATATTACGAATGTAGGAGGAAGAAATATCCGGTACCAACAAATTGATTCTAGAAAGACAGATCAACAGCCTGGAGGATGAACTTTCTGAAGCAAGATTAGAAACTTCTAGGCTGAAGGCTGAATTGGTATCTGAGAAGTCAGCCAGTCACGTTAAAGTATCTGAACTTCAGTCACGAATTAACGAGGTACCGTGGACGATTGATTTTATCAAACTCTCTCGATCAGGTCGTTTTATTATATTTACACCTGTAGCTGGAAGAAGAACGAGTACTCACAAGTGGCAGAACGAAAATTCCAGGTTTGAAAGTTCGTATGGAATTAGCGTGGCAAAAAGAGAGGGAAGAGCACCAAAGGCTTCTGCAGGAAACAGCTACTTTAGCAAGAGATTTACGACAAACATTGTTCGAGGTATGCATAATCGTTATACTGATTCATAGAATTACCGAGCGATTAATTAAATTTAAACTGTTGTAATAGATTGAGAGGGAACGTTCCAAGGAACGTTTGGAGAATAAGAGACGACAAGATCAGTTGAAGAAAGTATACGATGAAGAGAAAGAAGAAAGCAGGAAGAAATTATTAGAAGTTAATACATTTGTATAACTTCTCGTCTTTGAGCGGTCACGAATATTAAAAGAAATTTCGTTTTGCAGTTACAATGTGATTTACTTGAACTGAGGGATGCTCACGCGAAATTGAGGACCAGTAATGAAAAAATGAGACGCGAGAAGGAACGACATGAGAAGGAGCGAGAAGAGCTCAGAGATGCAATTACGAAAAAATCTAGACAAGAGCAAACTGAATTACGAAATATCAATGTATTATTGCAACAAGTCAATGATTTAACAAAACTGTTCCCTGAATTGAACGGCATAGCTGAAAACGGAACTTCGAGTACATACACACCCACTCCGCCTAGGCGATTAAAGGTACGTCAACTAAATAGATATATAAATATAGTAATGAAATATGTGTAACAGATAATTAATGTCACGTAGGGACCAAAATCAAGAGAATCGTCGCCACTGTTGGACTCAAAGAGCGATCTAAGAGGTACAGACACTAAACCTTTACAAAATAAACTTGAAAGTACGTTTAATCTGTGTTATATGAACATATTTTATTTTTATAAGGATCGAATTCACAACTGGGTGAAAGGACAGATAAGTTGGAATACACTATTAAAAAATTAATGGACGTGGCCAGAGAGTTGAAGGATTCAAAGAAAACTGCAGATGAAACGAACGTGATGCGGATGAAAAAACTTGGTAAAAGGTACCTGTCACTGTAAATAATTGCTGTGTTCTGAGTTCTGAGCAACATGTACTTATACTGTATAAATGAATGCTTTGCCTCGCAGATCAACGTCCGTAGAGAGTGATCCGGGAAAAGGCGTGACAACGAACCGTTCCAAGCCGCGATTGCAAAGGAAAAGTTTATCTTTAGAACAGACAGCTCGGAACGAAGAGGTACATACAGGGTATCCCAAAAATGTCTCGCAATCCGAAAGTAGGGGATTCCTGAGGTCATTGAAGCAACATTTTCCTTAGTAAAAATGCGATCCGCGGCTTCGTTTACGAGTTATTAAACGAAAAACAATGACCAATCAGAGGCGAGATCATTTGGCGCGAGACGGCCGAACCAATGAGCGGAACTGGGCTCCGTGCACTCGTTGGCTGGGCCGCCGCACGCCAGCTGAGCTCGCCTCTTATTGGTCAGTGTTTTTCGTTCATAACTCGTAAACGAAGCCTCGGAGAAAATTTTCGCAAAGGAAAAAGTTGCTTCAAATGACCTCAGAAACCTCCCATTTCCGGATTGCGAGACATTTTCGGGACACCCTGTATGATGTTACTTTTACTTATCGAAAGTATGAATTCCTAATTCATTTATTTAATGTGTCAGTCGCAACGTATATGGGGCACCGATAGCAACTTATCCAGTTTGCAGTCGCTAGAAAGTTCGGATATTGAAGGCGGAACTATGAGCTTGCAGAGAGATTCCAGTGTGGATAGGTAATAATGATGAACAAGAATAGTTTTCAATGTATTTACATAATTAATCTTTTTTATTTGTTCGTAATCAGTCGCCTCTCAACTGGTTCTACAAAAAGTGAAATGTTAGAACGAGATAAGAAACATAGCAAAGGTTTAATGAAGAAACTCACGAGTAAGTTGACTAAATCGGCCAGCGTGGACGATCCAAATGTTTCCATAGATCTTCAGGTAAACAAGAAAAATTAATTATACGATCGGCTCAACGATATATTAAATTAATTTTCCGTTCTGTAGACGTCCGGTTCCGAGACCAGTATCAACGAGAAGACTGAGAAGAAAAATCTAAAGAAAAAATTAACGGACATGTTCAAAAGAGGTTCTAGAAGTAGCAGGTGCGTACCAACTTCCATCTAACAAATGGAGAGAAGTCGTTGTGACATAAATAAAAAAAAGTTTATATATATATATATATATATATATATATATATATATATAACAATTATTTATAACAACTGGACAAATTGTACAAATCATGCTGGAGTATCTGAAGAAATCATATTCCTCGAGTTTTGTCGTACAGTTGTAGTAATAGTAACTTTTACTCGATTATTACGTTCATTAATATATGTGCATGGATACAGAATACTTCATGATAATGGGAAAGTGAAAAAAAATTTATCTAATATGTATTTTTAGTGTCGAAAAGAAGCTGAACTCCACAAATCACAGCAGACCACCTTCAAGGAACTCTATGACATCGAGCAAGTAATTGTACAACGTTATTGTACAAATGTCTGACAACAAATGACGCTACGATTAAAGAGAAAATAAAGATTGCTCAATTTCGCGTATTAGAGCATATACAAAAATATATATATAGATACATACACACACACACACACACATTGTATATATATATATATATTTTTGTACATATCGGATGTGCCTTTACTGATTGTAATTACAAACTTGTACTTGTAATTGCAGGAGCATTTTCAAACTGTTAATTAAATGTAAACACGGTGCTGCAGACAAGGAAAAATCATACAATAAAGAAACAATGCGCCTGTTATTATTACAATATCTTTGCTCGTTTTATTTCTATATTACAGTTTCATTTTCTGGTTCACGAACTGCTACGTCTTTCCTTCTTCGATTTCCGCTTATGCTTCGAACTTTTATGTTCTTTATGCTTGTGCTTCTTCTTCTCTTTCTTGACTTTCTTCACTTTTCTTTTCTCGACCCACACTCCGTAAATCTTTGTGTCCGTCTTAGGTTTTGTTACAACACTTCTGAACACAGGTTTCAAGGTTTGAGAACTGGTTGCTTCGGATATAGAATCTTCGACTTTGACGAGTTTCGAGGGAAGGGCTGGTCCATACATGTCTGACAATATTATTGGCTCCTCGATATTCGTACTACTGTCATTGCTTTGATTCGGTACAATTCCTATTTCAGAATGAGACTCTGTATTTTCATCTATTTCGTTCTTCCCATTTTTATTTGCTTGCTCGCTGTCCTTTGAACCGGAGAGAAGATTATCCAAATCTAGCTTGGCGAAAATTCCTCTCGGTGGAGAAGTATTTCTTTTTGTATTCACTTCAGCTGCAGGTTTACCAATTAGAACTGACTTTACAGCCTCACTGTCTATGCTCTCTTCCGGCTCTGAATCTGATTCTTCGCTGCTGCTTAAGAAAATTGCTTTGAAAAGATCTTTCTTTTCTTCAGATTTATTCTTTGGTACCTGGTTTAATGTATTATTATCATCCAGACTCGTGGCTGCTATCTCCAAGTCTTTGGGGACAGTATTCGAGTCTATTTGAGTGTCTAAATTTTGTTTCACTTCAGAAATTGCAGGGGATGTTTCTTGAACTTCTTTGCCAAAGATTTTTTCATAAGAAGCCTCGAAATTTCTTACTTTCTCTGATACAAGTTCTACTTCTTGAATCTCGTTGGTAGATACATCATTATGCAATTTTATCTCTGGAATTGCACCGCTGGTTACATTTCTGTCTTTCAATCCAAAATCAGTATTCTCTAACGGCTTTGGAACAGTATTGGTTGCTTTCAAGAATTTCGAAGAATTGCTGAAATCGAGCGAATCGAAAATCGAAAACTTTGCTGCTTTATTCTTCAGCTCAGGCTGAGCACATCCGACTTTCGGTTCTGGAATATTGAACCTCTTGCAGACTATACTCGTAGGTTTCCATTCTATCCGCTCTCTAGTCAGTTTCCCAAACAATTTCATTTTTACGGCTTGCTTCATATCGTTTTCTTGACTGCATTTTTCAGAAACGGTATCTATACATGTAGACTCAGCGGCATGGGTAAACTTGTTCAAGGAATATTCATTGGTTGGTTGCTCGAACAATCTAACTGCTTGTTCAAATTCTTCTCGTTCGTGTTCTCTGTCCCACTCGGTCATTGATAATGGTTGTATACTATCCAGCTTATTTTTTTCACCTTTCTTCAAAAGGTTTAAATATTGTTCAAAGCGTTTCTGCTTATCCGGATCTGCGAAAGACGGTTTTACTGTGCTTTTCTCCATGGAACTATCTCCTTCCAGCCTGTTTGTATTTTGATCTTCATCGTTTTTAGATGAATCTTTAAATTCTTCTAGCTTTTTTAAACTTCCTTCTTTGCTAAGCCCAACGATACCTCCTTTAACGAAACTCTGAGCATTAAGTTTGTCCATCCATGAGGTGGCTGCCTTAGCTTGTTGACTCTCTAACTTTTGTCTTTCTTCTGCTTGTCTCCCGTGTAAATTTAACGTTTTAGAAATAATGTTAGCAGCAACCGACGGCACTGCGTTCGGATGCGTATCTGATACTTTCTTAACAGTATGCGTATCTTCCAATATCCTAGCCCTATCAGCAGCTGTAAGATCTGTACGCTTCCCGTTTTCTACTGTGCGAGGAATGTTCTCAATCGGTGGGTAAAATCGACTTTTTCTAACCACGTGCATCGGTACATAATCTTTAGGCAACTCTGGGGGTGGATAAATCTTCTTCTGCTCCAATCTGTTTTTCGCTGGCACAAAACCTTCTAGACAATTGTTAGAGTTCTTTGAACTGCTATCATCTGACCACCTTGACTTAGTTTTCCGTTCTGGTCCTAGCGAAAAATCATAGCGAGACATGTCCTCTCTTTCATAAATATCTTCATCATCGGCTTCAAAAGCGCCGACGCCAAACGCTTGGCCATGTATTGATAATTTTTTATTCTTTTCTTGAACACTAAATGCAGGAGTATCAAATAAATCGATGTGCCCCGAAAGTATTGTTCTTCTGTCTAATCCACTGTATCCTATACCAAAATAATTATCTTTTGGGTTACATCTGTAAAAAATATATCCATATCACTATTGGTAATATTATCTATCAAAGCAGCCTTATACTGAATCTTAAATTACCTAAATGGTTCATAATCGTCAGGAGCAAATGTAACATCTCCATAATCATCCTCTGATTCATCTGAACTAGTTCCAGAACCAGCTTTACCATACTGTTGCTTCAATGCTCTTATTTTGTTATTTATTTTCCTAATTTTAGCTTTCTCTTTCTTAGTGAGCCTGGATCCTATACCCTGGCCTGGTCTCCAGCCCATTTGCTTCAGTAACATAATACCAACTGTATCTCTGAAGATTAAATGAAATATTTATTCAAACTAACGCTTATATGTTTTCTCCTAAATTAAATAGTTACTTACTTTGCAGGTTTTAAAAGTTCCTTTAATACAGGAGTACCAGGAATGGGACCACTACTATCGCGAGTAGTTCTCTCCCGTTTTATTCCTCTTTGTCCATGATCGACATAATCACTAGTAGCACGAATACCTTTTGGAGCAATTCCAAATTGGCTTGTATCCTCCTCATCCATAAAATCTTCAGGTCGTTGAGTAACACTTTCTGCTTTACTGGCTCTGGAAGACTTGAATTGTTGCGGTCTCCATCCATCTCTGGTACCAACAGTGTTAAAATATCCAGCAGAGAAACCGCCTGTAAATGCTCCATGAAATCTGCGTCTACCATGTGCATCGTATGCATACTGTTCCTCGATTGTCACAGGTTTCTTTCTTGGTAAATTCTCTGTACAAGTTCCAAATGAAAATAAGCTATAGTAAAAAAAATCTTTTTACACATGTACTGTCCCGTTTTGAAACACTTCACAATACCTTCGTCTATAGGATCGAGAGGAACACCAAAGGCCACATAATTCTCGTCTTCGGAATCACTCATTTTTAATGACAATAATTAACTATCGATAAATAAGAATCAATAGACACTATTTGTTGCTAATTTATGCAACTGTCAAAAACGAAATATTTAAGGTTACATTCGGAAAGTGTAGACATCTTACACTAATATTGTTTATCTAAGACATAAGTAAATTTTTTACCGTTATAATTAAACGATGAGAATTTTCCCTTAAAATAACCAAAATTCTAAAAGTACGCTAATCAAAGTTTTCAACATACAATAGCACCTCGGCATACTGAACTATAATGAGCGATGTCGGAGACAAAGCGCCTAAAAATATGAGGGTAGGTACAGACACTGCTTTTCTCTGATTGGTTGACGCTTCACAGGTAAGCAGTGCTGTCCTCACAGTTTTAGACAAAGAGGGAAAATAGCGAGTGAGCAAGAGAGCATGACATCGGCATAACACAAGCGAAACAAGTCACACCGACGACCAATGTAGCTTGTTTTACTTTACCATGTTTGCGATCTCACTCTATTCGCGCATTCGTTTGCCTGGCGCAAGCACGGTTGTCATCTGTGCGAACACTCACACATAGAGCCCGCTGGTTTCGTCTAACTCTCTCTCGGTCATCTCCCGTTCTCTTTCTAAAACAACTGCGCGGAGCTGGATGTGCATTAAAATGGTGGGGATAAAAGCGCTCAGGATGAAGAGGTAGAAATCGCTTGGTATGAAAAGGCACTATCGTACGTATAGCTAGAGTTTGACTAAACAAAAATGATCCGGTTTCCTGAGTTAGAATGTTACTAGGGCGGGAATATTGGAGAACATTCTAATTTCAAGTTTAATGGTGATTGATACAGTGAGATCATTAATTGAATCGAATTAAAAATTTATAGTTAATTGAATGAGCATTAGCTATATGAATGAAATGTAACTGTATAATACCTAACCTATACAGTTTATTATGACAAGTTAAAGACAATTATCAGTTATCTCAAACTGTTAAAAAATCGTAAGTATACTACAAATATAATAATATATTGTAACATTGTATTATTTTCAATATATCGTAAATATTTATAAAAAGTAAATACAAACGTATGAAATGCAATTTTAAATGAATGTGTCATTGAAGTTTTAGGCAACATTTAAGTGAAATTAGATGGGTATGAAATACATCGGCTACATATGTATTCCAGGAAAGGTGAAGCATTTATGTATTTAAAATTACTAATATAATAACACAAGTTTAGAAGATGACTTTAGAAGCTGCACAAAATGCAGCCCGAAAAGCTGTGCAGTTTGACAGTAACAGTCAACATAAGCAAGCCATGTACTACTATAACATTGCTATTAAATCTCTTGCCGAGTTAAAGGATCCTGTATATGATCAGAAAGTTACAGAGTATCGAGACAGAGTAATAGCAATACAAACTTTGAGTAAGTTCATTATTTTCAAGTCATCTATGTATTATGAAAATATATAGAATAATAAGACAATGGAACATTGCAGTCAATGAAGAAGACAGAAAACATCATAGTGCACAACCTGTACATCAATCAGAAATACAAAGGTGCATGTTCCTTGTAAATCAAGCTCAAGATGCAGATGAATCAGGCTTGAAAGATGTAGCTATAAAGTTGTATACAGATGCTGCTGAGCTTGGACTAAAATTCGTATGTAATAATACGGATAATTAAATATAAAATATTTGAAACAATTATGTACACAGATTTATCCTCCATGGGGTATTAAAAATTGTCTTTAATTATGGTTACAGAAAACTACTGATCCTGAAGTGAAGGGAAAATTAACAGCACTTGTTCGACTGGCCTTGGATAGAGCAGAATCTTTGAAAGGTGTAAAAATAGTTGACAGCAATGACATTCTTAAATCGCTGTCAAAATTGCCTCCGGTACCGGAAACAAGTCTAGACTTAGATGTAAACATAACGTCACCAGATGCTGCAACTTCTACAAATTCCTTTAACACTGGTAATGGATATCTTGATGTTGAATATCGAAGTAGTTCCTGTTTAATAATTTTTATTATAAAAATTATTTGATATTATTCAGGAAAACAACCTCGGCCCCCTTTGCAACATGGCAGCAGTGTTCATTTGAAAGTAAGCGGTGGTAGTAGCAGTTACTCTGATGAGGAGAAATGGGTTTTGCATCATAGTTCTCATATTAATGATCATAAGTTTCTTCCTTTTATGAGTATCGATCTTACAGAGAACTTTCATTTTCCCCTTCCATTCACTGATAAAGACGGTTTACTAGAACTAGCACCAAAGCAGAAACCAGACTTTGCAAGATGGGCACGTCCAGAAGAATTGTTTTCTGAGCCAACTATGCTTATGACTCATCATGTTGATTATTACAGCATAAAACAAACTGTTCGTAAAAAGTTTTGGTCATTTATTTACCAATAATCAATCTCATTTCGGATTTCAATCTCATCTAAAATTTCAGGTTGTTTCTGATTGCTCTTTCGTTGCGTCTCTTGCCGTTAGCGCTCAATACGAAAGAAGATTCGGACGCAGACTAATTACATCTATCATTTATCCACAAAATAGAAATAAAGAACCAATTTATAATCCGTTCGGTAAGTAGTAGTTTCTCTAACTTACAAACTACTTCTTGTGTTTTTGAAATCGTATGGATTTCTGGTCATTTGTTATCTCATCAGAAATTTATTTCAATAAGAATTAAATCGCGAGTATTTTATGTTAGGAAAGTACATGGTGAAACTTCACATTAATGGTGTTCCACGCAAAGTTATAATAGATGACTTATTGCCTGTAAGCCGATACAACCAATTACTTTGTTCCTACTCTAGCAATCATGGTGAGCTGTGGATCTCGTTACTCGAGAAGGCTTATATGAAAGTAATGGGTGGTTATGATTTTCCTGGCTCCAACAGCGTAAGTTACTTTTCATCTTACACGTCGCTATTCATTTATTAAAATACGATTAATACCAACTGTTCCTTCCTGTAGAATATAGATTTACATGCTCTGACCAGTTGGATACCAGAAAGATGGGCCATAAGACCGGAGGAACCAGATTTTAATAAGGATAACTTATTTAACGTTTTATTAACACGATTACGTAAAGGAGATGTACTAGTGACAGTAGCCACTGGAAAGTTATCTGATTTAGATGCTGACAGGACTGGGCTTGTACCCTCTCATGCATATGCAGTTCTTGATGTCAGGAAAATAAATGTAAGTCGTTAGTTCCTAACAAAGGATCTATACAAAATTGATATTTTATTCAAACTTGTATTTATTTCGTAGGATGAAAGATTACTGCTACTTAAAAACCCTTGGTCACATTTACGATGGAAGGGAAATTATTCTGAACTCGATACCGTACATTGGACTAATGAATTGAAGGAAACATTGAATTATGATCCAGATTCTGCCTCTCAATTTGATAATGGTATATTCTGGATCGATTACGATAGTATCTGTCGCTTTTTCGACGTGTTTCATATGAACTGGAATCCAGGTCTATTCCATTACACTTACTGCATGCACCAGTAAGTTGCGATTACTATATGAGCCGTTTATTTTGAAAGTGGCATAAGTCACTTTACCGTAATGAAAAGTGGTGATTTTTTAATGTTTATACGAAATTATTTATACTGAGAAAAATATCAGTATCCTGAGATAACAAATACAAGTAAATCTTCTCGAAAGCTAGCATCCATATTTTTAAATGTGTTGAAACGCAAACCCTTAAATATATCGACTTAAAAACAAAGTGACTTATGCCACTTTCAAAATAAACGGCTCA